ATACCGGCGAAACACGTGTCTGGGCCTTTTAGCGAGTACCTAGGCTGTTAGTTTGGTAAGTTACAACGTCAATTTCTCGGGATGCCTATTTTCATCTTCATAAGATATATGTATTTATCGCTTCTTCAACTACTACTTTTTTAATAAAATGGTAGATGCGGATGTTGTAGCAGCCTTACCCAAGCGAGGACGTTGGACGGTAGCTAAGTTGAACCAACCCGTCTATTATTTATAACTCCTTGTGCTACCACTTTTGCAACGGTAACCAACTTGAAGTGTCTACGAGCAGGGAAAAGGATTGCAGTGAAATAAATAAACATAACCACGCCTACTGAATTACATATAGTAGGCATATAAGTATATATAATTACCTAGAGATAGAAGAGTGTCGCCCAAGCATTTACGTGAGATTTGGCGAACGTACGTTTTCGATTATTTATCCTCAGGCCTTTACCGAAATATAAGGCAGAATAGAGAAACAAAACTGTAAACATCTAATACATAGTAACTAAGCGGAGAGGGTGGGGGACGTTCAGTTGTCAGTTGTTGTAATCTAGTCGTATAGGGGTTGAAGGAGGGGAAGAGTTATTGTAACAGTGACAATTGTCTGTGGCGTCAGCGTCTAATTACGCCCTTTGGAATCCCCAAGGTGTTACACAACAAGAAGGGTGTAATCGTGGAAGCCACCCGAAGGAGAGTTTACTGGGTACAAAACCCAGAGTTGCTGTCTCCGATGGCAGTTTTGCCGCTGGCGTTTTCAGGGCTGAACGTCCCGCCGCAGGGCGAAGTCCGAGCCTGAGGTGGACTGGTTGTGTCCAGTCCGTGTTGCAACTAATTTTCTGAGATGTTACAGTTGCTTATAAGTGATTGTCCAGCGCGTAGCATGATTAGGCGCGTCGGAATAAGGTCATCTGCCGTGTGGCGCACCTAAGTGGCCCTTGAAAAATCTGCAACTAGTTGGGCACGCGCGTGGGTTCGCATGCGTGTGCGCAAATGTGTGTGCGGTCATCGCTTGAGGACAGTCGCAATAAAGACACAAGACCTTGCGGCAGTCCACAATGACAAAGGAATGATGGTGACAGTCGGCCACAGGCACGACGCTTCAGGACAGCCTACAAGGTTGCTGACATTCGGTTAGGCTAGGCTCCCAACAAGGGTGAGGGAAAAGAGCTGTCCGACAGTTAGCTACGTTTCTGCCTCGTCGCTGTAGCGGGACGCAACAGAACGTTTAAACACACATGTTAAGTTCGCCTTCGATCTAGGACCCGCATGTTTACACTTTCGTTACTCTATTACAACGGCTGATTACGATTAATCGAAAGCGTACGTCTACCAAAGATGACTTCTTGGAGTACCGAGGTCTTGATGAATTGCTGCCACCCCATGATTTCTTTATTTCCGTTTTGAAAAAAAACCGTCGATTTTCTTTTCTCAGTAGTTACATGGACGTCGTATAGTCATCCAGATTAATGGTATTTAGTGCACCTATTTAAATTTATGCCTCGCCCCAAAACACAGGACGCACAAAGCTCCCTTGTGAAACTCGAGGTCCGAGACGTTACTTGGACTTACATTATCTCTTGAAATTTTAACCGGTAAACCCTGAAGCAACAGCATTTGTCACAGTGTTGCCGGGTCGTGCAAGACTACGGTCAGCTGACGGCAACGTGACATGCCAACTGTTTTTATTAGCAGAGCTGCAGTGCCGTCAGTTTTCGAGCAGATAACGCACTAGCGGAAACAAACCAGGCGGACAGCGGGTACCGGTCTACGCGGACAGCTCGGGTTGGTTTTCGCAGTGAGAACTTCAAGCACCAACTCTGTAGGTGGACCACAATATAGGCTGGATTCTTAGAGGGAAGTGCATCCTTTCACAGAACAAGGAGGTACGACCAATTGCTGAACTCTAAGCAAAAAGTCTCGTCCACACTGCCGACATCGCCTTTTCGAGCGCAATCCTCGGATACTGCCAAATTGTATATGATGAAGAATAAACCCAACCAGATTATGCACCTAAATATATGCGGATGCAATAGCCAAGAACGAACATTCCGGCGCCTCCTTAAATTGGCCATTGTGACTGGCAACCGCAGGGCGACGGTTTTGTTTTAATTTGCTGTTTCCACTCATTTTAAGTCTTTGTGACCGATAAGTGAGCTAAACGGAATGTCTGGGTGGATTATTAGTGAAGAGAGCGGCTAAACTTAGAGGTTTGGGATCGCTTTTGCTCGAGAGCCGTTCACCGGGTGAAGTTCGCTCAACCTGTTCCGAATAAAACTATGCATACTCAGATACGCAGCTTCGCGGTTTTGCTATGGTCCATCCAGGGAAGATCCTCTAAGTGCTCCTTCGTCACCTGACCCATACCTTCAGTTTTACTGCAGTAAACCCGAATCCAATATCTTATTGAAGAAAACGAAGTTAAGTTCGACTGAAAACCTGCATGAATACGGCCTGTTAAGGTGAAGAGGTTATGCGTTCCTTCCTGGTATTTGGTCACCAACGGCGCATCGAGTTTATTAATGCCGCTGCCACCTATCGTTACGTGTAGAGATACATAATGCGTGGTAACCTTGGGCCGGGTAGCTCTAGCATGCTAGTAAACATCTGGAGTACGTCACTGCAACCCCAACGAAGATTACAACTAGTTGATAGCTTACGATAGCATCCAGGCGCATGACGAAATCTGAAAATGCCATCACCCGATCATCCTTCCATATAAGCGTGGGTGCCTAAAAGATCAGAGCTGAATGCACTTGCTCCTACCACGCACAAAATAATTCTTAGGATAAAGCCGGGTCGGTGGAAACAAAGACGAAGACCTACCGACTTGACGGTGTGTCACTGCCATCAGCGGCCGCATTCTCCGAGGTTGATAGTGCGGGCAACAGTCGCCAGCATTCTTCTTCCTCGTCAAAAGTTGCACGCTTCTCCAAACTCCGACGCACATCTGGTGGAACGAAATTCTCCAAGATGAGGTAACGCAGTTTCAGTTCTTGCGTAATCTGGTCCACAATTCTTTCATGCTCCTGACGCTGGTGTATACTGTCCTCCTGCACATCTGCCATCTCTTGTTTCAAGACCTAAAGGGCAATCCTGTTTGGTGAACTTGCCGTTATACAACAGAGAGCACGCGTTTTCGAAAATACCGATGCTTCCGTAGAGGGAGTTGACAGTTTCTGTACACGTTCGCCCAAATGACAGTTACAGAGACTAAGGTAACACCCCCGATTGGAATACAAAAACGGTTTTCCAACAAATACTGCACATTGGCGTGTTGCCCCACCTAGTCAATAATATAAGTAATTAGAAATGCCTCCATAAAATGCTAACATTTCAACCTTCAAAAGCGCATGTTTGGTTCCGCAGTAATAAATTGACAAGTATTTTCAAAATCGAAGATGGTCCAAAGGTCAAAAGTAACAGTGCAGGTACCTGTAGTTTTTCAAACGTCTTTTTCAATTTTGCCGTGTACACATCCACTTCTTGGCGCAGAGAAGTAAATGTCTCCTGCAGGTTTGCCAGATTATCACTCTCAGCCTCCATTTTGGCTCTGATCGCACGTTCGTGCTTTTGTTGGGTAGCCAACTTCTTCCGGTGGGCCTCGAGAGCGGCCTCCTGCTCCTTGGTATGTTCAACGATGGACCGATCGCCGCACAACAACTTCGACTCCAGACTACGCAACTTCTCCTCCAACTTCTTGGTCTGGGCTTGTTCGTCCTTGATAACTGCTTCTTTTGCCTGAAAGAGCAGGAATTTCTGGCAGTTGAGAATATGTCATGCTAACCGGATCACAACAACACTTTCAATTTAGGCGTTAATATCGAGGGCTATTTTTTGGCAGGTTTGGACAATATTAGCCACACCGCACAGGTAAATCGAGTGCATTAGGACACAGGTAAGAGTTCTTCATATGGCCGCCCATTGGCAAAAGTGTCCCCGTCCAATTTTCGTACGAGAGTCGTCGTTACATGAAAATTGAAGGGTGGGGTACACCAGGTGTCGTATAGGTGCGCGATAACTGCGCAATAAGAAAGAAATAAAAGCGCCTGTTTTGTTTTTCGGAACTAAATATGAAGGTGAGCAGGTTTTGGAAAGGACAAAAGGACTGAAGAGAAAGTCTATTGACCAAGAAAAATACTGCAACAACTTTTTATTAACATAATCAGGGACGTGTTCGGATATACGGATATTCGACCTACTGAAAAAATTGTAAGTAGGTTTTAATTATTGAAATATCCCCGAAACAACTATTTGAGGGAATCTCAGCAGGGCATATTCAAACAGATTAACTAAATCTCCACCCTGCCTATGTCGTCTAGGCATCAATAGATGAAAGCAGATGCAAATGGTTCCAACATGAAACTCATTTCGTTAATAATTTTAGCAAATCATTTTTATATCCTTAATTTTATAAAACAAAGAGGTTCAGCCAGTCGTAGAAATCAAAGTTGTTGTAACGGAAGCCCAGGCCGAGATATCACCGCGCAATGCGTCGCCAAATTGTTATAACGGAGCCCAGGCCAAAATATTCGCCGCCTAATTACGCCTCATGTGAGCCCCCAAAGAGAGAACACGACAAGAATTGTGCAGAAGGCAGAAGTCTTTGAGTGTTCTCTCTTTGGGGACTCACATGAGGCGTAATTAGACGGCGAATATTTTGGCTTGGGCTCCGTTACAACAATTTGGCGACTCATTGCGCAGTGATATC